GACATTAAATTAGGAAACTAGGCATAATGCGTATTTAACTACATCTACTCTACTCAACGCTCTTTGTATTATCTAAAACATGATTAGTTTCCAAAATAAAGACATGTCAATAATCATTTGTAAACTCTCAAAGGATGAGTTCTAAATTTCAGATATAAAGGGAACTAAAAGATTTATCAAAAATTGTGTAGTTCAATCCGTGTAGTTTACGATGAAGAAAAACTCAAGGTTTTAAGAGACTTTCCCACACATACACATCTAAATGTCAAAATGTGGACTAGAATTTACCTTCTGGTCCATCTTACTCCATGCTGTAGGATACATTTTTTTAAAAAATAGTGTTAAGTTTCTGGAGTCTCATATAGATTATTCAGATCTGAAAAAATTAAGGTTTCTGCAAAGGAATTATACAAAGTATAAAAATACTTAATCTTCCTGAGATATTAAAAATGGCAGGAGAGCTAGCATAAATATAGTTTAATTATGATTAGTAACTAAAAGGATGGAGACTAGATTTTTAGAAGCTTGGTCAAAAGCTTAGAACCAAACAAGACAAGATATACTGTGATAAAGTATAGCTGACCTAGCCAACATGGGTCATGCTAGGGTAGATAATTAACCTACTTTGGATCTATTATAAAAAGATTAGCTAGAGATGGAAGAAGAAAGCCAAAAGGTAAGCAAAAACACATGATATAACAATCATAATATTTATGCACACTCCACCTAATTGCATAGTATTTGATACTACCATTTCTTCAGCATATTGAAATTTCAGATACCAACAGTCTTACCTTTATTTGTGATAACTAAATGCCTGAGATTAGAATAAACTCCGTATTTATATAGAAAATTTCATTTCTACTATTTAACTCTCCCTCTAATAATCATAAACACAGTCAACCATCTAGTAACCTGTCACTGTGACTTACTGAGTTAATAAGCCTGCCACATCATCATTTTAAAGCATTAAACTCCCCATCTGTTTAACCTGAAATGGAGCAAATTTTAAAATGAACGTGACAGTCATTTATTGAAAAAACAATGTGAAACTGTTACCAGGGAGTAAGCTCAATCAAGTTTTTTTAATCAAAGAAAATATTCTGGGAAGTGAAGTAAGTGATTTTCTTTCTGCTTTCTTAAGAATTCCTAGATTTTCTGTAACAACAATGTATTTTTTTGTTTTGTTTTGTTTTGTTTGAGGTACTGGTGTTTGAACTCAGGGCCTCATTTTTAGTGTCCAAAATTTATCTTAGCCATATCCAAAAGACCAGCAGGCTTAAATGAAACTTTTTCAATACAATTTCTAAAAGTTCCCTCTCCACTAAGGCTCAACATGTTTTAAACCAATTATTTAAATGATAGAAGACTCCTTATTTTTGAAGGTTTTTTCCTTCTTAAATTAACATTTACAATTAACATTTACAGTAAAAGCAGCACAAGATAAATAAGTAAAACAATGGCAATTCACACTTGAATGTTCCTATCACAGAAGCATTTCTTTACTAATATTGATAAAAGCGAATTAAATATTTCATTCAAAGAGTAACACCCAATTTCTCGAGAAGAAACAAAGAATTTTATTACTTAATATAATCCTCTTACTGCAAGAGGGCACTATGAGCCCCTCCCTCCAATAAAGCCTGGGCTTGTTGATTTCCCTCTGTGCTCTCTTTTTCTGATCACACACATTCCTAGAAATAGCCAGTCAGCTTTGCCCATGACTGCGTCAAGTCGTTTAGTTTACATGTAAAAGTGCTGAGCTAGGTACAGGCTTTTTCAGAAGTACAATCTGCCAGACTTATTTAGTGGCCCTGGCCTGATTAACACCATGTTCTAATGATCCATCTTACCCCCTTCTGAGTGAGGGTGGGCAAGCAGCCAAGCCAGTGCCACCCCATGATTTAATTCCTCACCTCTGCAATGACTTCTCCTGTATTCAATCCCCCTCCCTCAAGATGTCCTTCCCAACCAGGACTCCAACAAACCAAACAGGAAGAGACAATAATAAGCAGAGTCAGAGCTAACATTTATGAAACTCACAGTAAGCATTACCTGTCTCCACAAAACAGCTAGTATGGCGCACCAGGATTAGCCACCAAATGTTGCTCCAAGACCTTTGCCTCAATCTCACAACAAAGTCTCTCTACATGTATTCTGCCACTTTTCCCATTATTTCACATATTGTTAAGTATAGTATTAAACACCTGGTTGCTACTCTATGCCAGGCCCTAAAATCTGAAACTATTTCAAAGGCAAAACAAACACCAAATAAAACCGAAAATGTACTATTTCATGAACAAATAAAAGGCATTTCTAGAGGTGATTTACAAATTTAGTCACTGCAATAAGTGACATAAGTCACTGTTTGAGTGAGGCTAAGTTAAGAGAAACTTTAGTAATTTTCACATGTAAGCAGAATAGTGATCTAAAATAAGATATATCTGAAGAGATTTATTTTTAACAATTACTTTGCCCAATTAAGGCACTGCAGATTTGCCCTGTACCTTATTTTGAAAAATGAATACATTATGTAAACTCTGGTATTTATAGAATAAAATTTCAACTCATCCTTAATGCTTTCACAGCTGCTGACTCTCCAAGATCTCTTTTAAGTCCAGTCTCTCTTGTTACCACTATTCCCCACACTCACCCAACCTCACCCCTCTTCACCAAACTCATTTTTCAACTGAGTAAAGAGAAATGGAAGGCTTTGGGAAACTATACATTGTATACAAAAGGTGGAGCTCCTGATCAAACTGCAGAAACAAATGATAGTCCTTCACTTTAAAGTCCTCACAATCTAATAAAAGATAAAATTTAGAGCATGGTAACTGTAAGATCACAAAAATCCTGTGAAATAGCATTGAAATTGAAATTGAAACCTCGACTACTCAAAAAAGGCAACATGCTTTCCCTTACTCATAAGCCCGATGGACAGTGTTACAGTTATTCAGGAGAGATGAACTCACTCAAGATACAGGTACAAACTCACTGGACAAGAGCAGAGAAAGTGTTCCAAGCCTAGCAAAACAGTACTTACAAAGGCACCTATGTTAAGTAACTTTGCTTTTCTTGATTTTCAGTTTTGTAATTCTCAGAAGAGAGACAGCAGTCTTCTTTACTGAAGACTGCAAATTACATCTGGAGATTTTGCACTATTCTGGGAGTACATTAGAATTTATTCCAATCTGAATACAGACACACCCAATTTTAATAGTACCTTTGGAACAATCTCATTTGGCCAGGCACAGACTTTTGTTTTTGCCAAGACACAAACCATCACATGCAATTAATGTACCTGAGTAGAAGCCCTAGAAAGAGCTTGAGTCGGCCATCCTTGAGATCAGAATCCCACTTAAGAGTATGACCTTGGTGCTTCATTGTTCTGATTATAGCATACTGCATTAATATGCTTGTTTGAATACTGTTTGTCTCCTTTAACTAGAATGTAAACACCATGAAAGCAGCGACTGCCTTGATCACTATTGTATCTTCAACATTCAGCACAGTGTCTGGTAGTTAGTGAGTGTTAACTGCATACTTGATATATTTGAGTGAATCAAAGTAAAGAGCATCACACCACTCCCAAAGCCCTAGACTTTGACAATGAACTATGACCCCACAAGATGTGCAAGCTCAGCAATCTGGCAAAATTATCACTGTAAAAGGCTTAATTATCCCATTTGCTTTGAACTCAAATATCTAAAAATAATTAGCCCAAACAATCCTCAGAAATCATTTTAAAATATCAACAGTACCAAATACCTTTACACCAGCGCTTTCCTAAAATGTAAATTGCAAAGGAACAATTATCCACGTGAAGAAATGGATTCTTCAATGATTCATTCTCTAATGTGACTTCAATACTGGAGATTCTAAGCCCACCTGATTTCAGCCACTTTTATTTATACTGTTCCACAACATGCAATGGAGATTCAGCTTTTAAAGGATCTTTTCCAGTCTCATTCACTACTCCTTGAAGAAAAATATATAAAATGTACAACTCTTAGATGGAGGACTGCTTGGGGATCTTCTCCATGAAACCAGGTATATAAAAAACGAAAAAAGATTTCAGAAGTCTTTGATAACCTAACACCAGGCCCACGTTACAAAAAGTAACTTTTTTTAAGTGATTAGTCATAAATTACAATCGCTACATATAAACTAATGAAAGGAATTTGTCATATCATGTGGAAAACTGCGGTACTTCTGGCCAAGCATAAAAACAAGTTTTAAACCCACCCACGTTCTACCTAATTCGGGACTTTCAAGGGGCGTGAGGACTGTTCCCTTAAAGTCTGTTTAAAAGCCCTAAATGAAACAACACCATAGTCCCTGCAGATACACTTCAAGTCCCACACAGATGCGTCTGGTAGATTAAAGTAAACAAATGACAGGAAAAGCCAATGCTGCTTCTCAAGATTAACGTGGATTCCCAGTGACAAGACTGCCACCTGGACACAGGTTGGAAACGGGGGGGGGGGGGCAGCTCAGTCCTCTGAGTAGGAAAATGGAGAAAATTCAGCAACACACTTAAAGTTTCCACCTCCACACGCACCCTTCCCCCAGCGCGGGTCCGGGGGCTCCGCCTAGCCAGGGGCGCGGGGAGGAAATCGGCACTTGACTTCCGTCCTCTCTCGGACAGGAGACCCTGCCTTCGTGCCGGCCGACCCCCGCCCCGCGGGGAACACCTCTCTGCGGGGGACACCCCCCCCAGCCAGGCGCGCGGCTAGACGGAAGTGGAGTGGACGCTACCGCGTCCCTTCCCGCGCCCCCGGCCCAGGGAGGCTAGGGCAGGCCGGCCCCAGAGGCCGTCGCCCACCCCCGCCACGTCCCGCGCCGGCGCCCCTCACGGCCGCGCCGCCCATCCCCCGCGCAGGGCCGCTAACCCCCGCACTCCGGCCGCGCCGTCCAACCGCCCCCGCAAGGCGGGCACCCACCGCCGGCCGCCCGCCCGAGGGTCCCGGCCACCCCCGCCGCCCTCCCGCTACACCTACCATGGTACAGATGGAGGCGAATTTGGAGACTGTCATTAGGATTTCCATCCGCCCAGCGCCATCTTCCACCCAATCACGGCGGCAGCGGGCGAGGGAGGAGGGGAGCCGGGCCGCCCGCACGCACCGTAGCCCGCGGGCGGACCCCGAGCCGCCGCGAACCCACGCTCCGAGCCTGCTGAGCCGCCGCTGCCGTCGTCGCCACCGCCACCGCCGCCGCCGGCGCTCCAGCACTCCCGGCCTCGAGCCCCCGCCCCGCCTGCCGGCCGCCCGCCCGCCCCCGGCTCCGCCCCAGCGCAGGGCGCAGCCGCTGCCTCCGGGCCCGCGCCTGCCCGCGAAGCCGCTCGCCGTACACCCCGCCCAGCGCGCTGGGGAAGCGGGCTCTGCCGCGGCCCTAATGCCCGGCCTGGCCGGCGGCTGCGCGACCCGCGGTCCCGCCCACCCCGACACCGCCTCCCCGCCCTGGAGCGCAAGCCCAAGATTCGCGCCCCGCCCCCCGCGCCGTCGAGGGGCGGGGCAAGGGCGGGCGCCGTCGGGGGCGGAGCGGGGCGAGGGCGGGCGCCACTTTCCGCCTGCGGCTGGGTCCTGGCGCCTGCGCACCGCAGATGCCTAGCTGCCGGAGGGCGCGGGGTGAGGTGCGGGAGCCGGGGCGACCTGGGTAAATCCTACGGGATACTGACTTCGCGGGCTCGCGGGTGAGGGGACAGCTAGACCCCTTGATAATCTGGATTCTGGGTGGTGTGGGATAATTCGCGTCTACGTCCCAAGCACTTGGTTTCTTTTTTACATAATTTGGGTGAACACTTGGGTCAAAACCCCTAACTTAGAACTCAACTAATTAAATGAAAACGAAGCATCAAAGAACAAAGTATATTTGTTTAACATACTTTTAAAAAGTATTTAAGAGAAACGTAAGAAATGGGGGGAGGGGAGCAAGTCCTGCTTTCCCGCAAGCCCGTTGGCCAAGCTTTAGAATGTGTAGCCGCGTAATAGATACTATTATGATAATGGCGGTGATGTCACAGAGACGAGAAGTAAACCCGGCAAGCGAGGGAAATGCCCGGTGAGAAGCGCATAAGCAGTGCTAGTGTGGGTGGATGGTTCCCATCTCCTTACTTTTACAAAATTCAACATCGCGCCCGGCAGCTCAGCTTTGCTTTTTGCCGCTTGAGAACGTAGTTCAAGTGAATGGAAGAACTTCATAAATTATATATTAGAAAGCCTGCGATTTTATTTTTGATTGGCGAACCCCATGTTAGTGGAGCTGAGGGCCTGAATTCAGACAAGGCTCTAAAGTCAGGTGTGCCTCACCTCAGAAGGCTCAAAGCATTCAAGCAAAATTTAGGGGGAAAACACATTTCTGGTACATGGCTGCTGTTTCCCCAGTAATTCCATTACAAGCTCGCCTGGGGAGAAAATACCCAGTGAATACAGCGAAGTCTTGTGGTGTTCTCCAGACACCTCTCCCTTGCCACTGGACACACCAAACCAGTGGCCAGGACTCTGGTTTTCTTTTTTCTTTTATTTTCATTGCTCATTGTGGCATTTACAAATGTTCTTACAATGTATCAACTATACTTGAATTCACCCCTTCCATCATTCTCCTTTATCTCCCTCTCCCCATTTTTGGAATAAGTATCATTTTTCCATTTACATGTGTACACAGTATTTGCACCACATTCACCCTCTCGTGCCCTTTCCCCACCTCCTCCCCGGAATCTGGTTTTCACCAGCAGGCACTCAGGTCTGTGAAGTTTTTTTTTGCTTGTCTCCCTAGTCTCCACAAAGCTGAGAGCTTCAAATGGGTGAAGTCCACATTTTAAATGTCAGGGTGAGTAAATACAGCGTTCAGCCTACTTCAGAGTTAATGAACCCATGTCATGTGTCAGGCACCTAATTAGTCCTTTAGATAAATTTTCTGACTGTAACCGGTACAGTGACCTTAGAGATCCATCATCGTATGCTTGTTTTATATACAAGGGAGTATGGCATTCATTATCACACTGCCCAGCCAGTGCAGGACTGGGATCCACGCCTACACGCTCAGACTTTAAAACCCATGCTGTCTCCCCTTCTCCACCCTGCCTCTTGACAGCTGAATGAATCAGCCTTCTTGTTTGAATTGATTAATAATCATCCAGCTGTGCTGCAGTAAATGTCAGACAAAAGAGTGATGCTCTTTATTGGTTTGGATCAAATCAGTGACTTACTTTCCAAGGTTGACTTCTAGTCCACATGAAGCTAAGCCATCTGTATGATGGACATAGATCTGATAAAGGACAGGCAGGATGGCCTATAATCCATAAGTCTAAAATTTTGTCGTTATTTAATCTTTTAGATTAAAAGAGAAACAGGAGGAGAGGGTGAGGTGTAGTTCAGTAGTAGAGCAATAGTTAGCATGTAAGAGACCTTGGGTTCAATCCCCAGCACACAAGTCTCAGAACTTACCAAAAAGAAGGGCAAAAGCTTAACTCTGTTATACTCTACTTAAAACTAATATGTGGGTTCGTTCATTTAAAAATACCTAGCTGATCATCTATCTACTGATGAATAGGAGAAACCTATGCTTTAGGAAGGACAGTCCATTGAGGTAGACACTTTTATGGAAAATGAGCTGAAAGGATTGAGAACCAAGATATGTCAGTGCTGAGGAGGGTAAGACTGGCTCTGCCTGCAGGAGGGACAAGCTGAGGCCACTTTGCCATCTGGAAGCACAGGATGCATACTTGTCTCCAAGCCGAGGGAAAGCTGCATGCTGAACTCCAGTGGGACGCAGTGTGGGAAGTCTGTAGCTGTAGCACAGGACAGGTTGCAGGGAGCTTGTGTACATGTGTATAGAATATCAAGAGGACAAGCCAATCCCCAGTGACATCAGCAAAGGTTACAGTCTCTGGAATCTCTACTGTTTTATATCCACCTGTAACTAGTGGAAGTGTTTGCCCATCTTAAAACCTGCCCCTTGATTTGGAATCCCATCTTGCAATTCATTGAGATTAAACATGGCAGAGAATTTCAAGGAGACATCAAAGCAACAGGTCCATCAATGGAGAAAAAACCTTGTCTTCTCTAGAACACAGATGTAAACCAGAATACTTTGTGTACTTACCTCTTCGTCATTCAAGGTCTGCTTAAGCGGAAGAACTAGATGCTGGTGAAGATAACGATCATCTCGCTATTTAGTGCAAGTTCCAAAAGTGGCTGAGCTTAAATTGAGAAGCTGATACTTTTTCAAGTGATTTCACTTCACTAGCCACTTCTTTTATGGAAAGAGGGAGGGAGAGAAAAATGTTGGGGGAGGACAGGTGTAGAACACTTGTAACAACCTTGGGTATAAACATGATTCTTCTAGTTGCTCAATTATTCTGCAATTCACATCTGAAATCCAATTTATTTAATCACATATTTGCTGAGTAATTCTGATACATGAAAACTTTGTGGGAACACTTAAGCAAGAAAAGTCCTGCCTTCAAAAATTTACCATCTATAGCAGGTGCCTAGCTACTTAGGAGTCAGAGATCAGGAGGACTGCCATTCGAAGACAGTCCAGGCAAATGGTATTCGAGACCCTACCTTGAAACTACCCAACAGAAAAAAGTGTTGATGGGATAGCTCAAGTGGTAGAGCACCTCCCTAGCAAGTCTGAGGCCCTGAGTTTGAACGCAGTACTTCCAAAAAAAAAAAAAAAATGCCATCTACTCGAAGAGAGATGACATGTACACAAACAATGTTAAGGGGTAGCATGCCACCTTAGGGGTTTCCTGAGAGGTTCAAGCTGTCCTCACTTGAGAGAGATTAAATTAGACAAATGCCAATTGTATGGCTTTCAGTGTTGTAAGTGTCCAAGAAGACTTTTTTTTTTAGGTCATCAAAAATGCAGCTGCATACTATAGTGTCTGCTACTTTCTCTTTTTTCTCCTTCTCTTCCTCCTTTCTCTTCTCCACCTTTTCCTCCTCCTCTCTGCTTCTCCTTCCCACCCCTCTCCATTCTCCCACCCTCATCTCATACCCCTCTCCTCTCATCCGTTTGTTCCTCAAACATCAACGCACTCCGGGGCACTCTCCCTTGTCAGCATGGTGTGCATGCGTTCAGTGTAAGACCCACGTGTCACCTCCAGGGAGGCCTGGCCTGATGCCTGGTCCTGTCCTCTAGCATAAACTCATGAGAACTGGAAGCTTGTCCATTTGTATGGCTCTGTCCCCAGCTCCTGGGAAAGGATAGTTAAGAACTAAATAAATATAGTGAGATGAAATTGATAAACACCTGCAATTCCAGAGCAAATAAAAATAAAGTAATTCTGGGCTGGGGTTGTAGCTCAGCAGTAGAACCTGACTAGCATGTGCACGACCCTGCGTTTGACCCCCAGCACCACACAAAAAGTAATTCTGATACGTAGTGGTGTCTTATCTTCCCTAGCCAGCACAATGAATGCGAAGACTTCTCAGGCACTCACACATATCCCTCCTGCTTCTCTGATGCTCCTGGAGTTTGCCATTTTCTCTTCAGCATTTGTTCAGCTCTAAACAAGAAAGGTCATGACTGGAGGGAGGGAAGCACAAGAAAATACAAAATTCCCTGGACTCCAGAAAGCCTGGAGCACCTGCGCCTAACTTCCCCAATCCTAACTCTGATTTTCTTTGTCTGTGGGTTTTTTTTTAATCTGTGGAGAGGAATCTTCCTTCATCCCTCCCTCTCCTTACTACTGCTTCTCAAATTGTTCAGAGATTTTTCTATGTGCTTCAGCACAGTTTAACCATATGTTTGGAATTTGTGTTGTAAAAGTTCGACTCTGACTTGTGACTTTACTGTCACTTTCGTGTCCAGATTTGCATGGCAGCACCCATAGACCTCCTGGCCACCTGACCTTTATCAGTCTACCCAGGGCCCCTTATGAGGTCCAGTGAGCCACCCTGGGAGTTTCCTAAAATGCTCAAGCTGTATCCCCAGCTGTAAAAACAGTCATGGCTTGTACTTCTTCTTTTTTTGTTTTATAATCCTCTATTAAAATAGTGAAGCTTATCAGTATTAAACAAAAGCAAAAATTCCACAATATATTTAGCATAAAGAAACCCCTATCAGATAGCAAGAAACCAAGTGGTGATTTCCTGGAATCCAGGAAATGAGAGTGAGTGAGCTGGGTGACAAGATGGAAAAGAAAATTTTCA